CTCCTGTGATGCTAGGTGTCTGTGTACCTGGGAGGATGGACATCTCCAACTCCCCTCCTTCCAGAGCCCACCTGCTCAGGCTGTCCTCACCTGGGAGAGGGTTTGAGGGACAGCTGGGCTGGGAAGCCCGCCTCCCAGCCCTCAGTCTTGCCTCATATCCCAGCCCCCACATCCCAGGTCATTCAGTTTTTCCGTCTCTCACATGGGTGGCCCACCCGCCCACCCCATCCTCCTGAGGTCTTGGGAAGGGGCTGAGCTTTTTTGATACCCATCTTTAAGGAGGCAGAGCGAGGGCCTCTCTGGTGGCTCAGTGGTAAGGAATCTGCCTGCCAATACAGGAGACATGGGCTCGATCCCTGGTCTAGGAGGATCCCGCATGCCTCAGGGCAACTAAGCCTGTGTGTCACAACTAGTGAGCCTGTGCTCTAGAGTCCAGGGGCTGCAAATGCTGAGCCCACGTGCCACATCTGCTGCAGCCCGAGAGCCCTAGAACCCGTGATCTGCAACAATAGTAGTCACTGCAGTAAGCCCGCACACCACATCTAGACAGTAGTCCCTGCTTGCCGCAACTAGAGGAAAAAGCCTGTGCAGCAACAAAGACCCTGCATAGCCAAAAATAAATTAAAAGTTAAAAAAAAAAAAAAAAGCCAGAGCTGGAAAGAGCTTGGAACCTCAACTAGGCCACACAGCCATATTACAGATGAGGAAACTGAGGCACAGAGAAACCTGTTAACCACCCAGAGTGGGGAAGCTGCCTGAGTCGGGGAGAGAAGACCTTTGGGGTGGGCCCTGTGGCGGGGAGGGTTAAGATCCAGCCTTCCTGGGGTGGGGAAGAAACACAGGGCTGTAAGTGAGGAGAGCTCTTGGAGGCTCAGTTTTCTCATCCGTGGCTGGGGAGTAATAATAGTATGGACCTCGCAGCGCTGGGCTGAGGAGTCAGGGAGACAGTAATGTACGTGCACAGCTCTGCCCGAGGCAGACTTTCAGGAGCGGGTGCTGCTGTGTCTGTCTCCCAGCGCCCTCGCCCTGCCACCGTAGTCTCGCTGCCTGGCCCCCTGGCTGTGCGTGGAACACACGGAGCACGTCCTCGCCGGAGCCCCTTGTCTCACCTGGCTTTTCCATTCTCCTTAGCTCCTGCTACCCCTCCCCATTTTCCACCACGTGTGTCTGTGTCTCCCCCACAAGAGCCCAGCTTCCTGGGGCAGGGACTTGCATGTGTCTGATGCTGAGTGCCCACCACCTAGAACCACCTGCGTGCCATGTGTTTGTTGAACGAATGAACGTTTCCTCCTTGGCCCATGTCTTTCTCCATCACTAAATGGGAGGTTGTCTGAGATGATCTCTTAAGGTTCCAGCTCAGCCCATCCTGAGCTGCCGTGCCTCCATCCTGCCCCCACTTCTGGATCCTGTTCTCCTCCTCATTGGCTCCCACGTGTGCCTCTGGCATCTGGCACAACTGTGGATTAGCTGAGCCAACCCTCCCTGCTCACAGACTCTTACCTTTGAGCGTTTGGTGGCCTCACTCTTGCTTGCTCCTGAGAGGTCAGAAGCCCGGTGACTCAGGCAGGTCTGAGCAGTGCTGGGTCTCAGATGCTGGAGGTCCCTGCCTGCTGCCGGAGACTGGCTCTTCTGAGGTTCCTGTGTGGTCACCTGGGAAACCAGCTCGGAGCTGAAGTCAGAGGATGTTGGCCTGCAGCTGAGGGAGGTCCCCTGCACTGGTGTGTGTGTGTGAGAAAGAGAAAGAGAGGGACTGAGAGAGAGAGAGCGCGCCCACGTGAGCCAGCACCCCAGGCTCTGCTCAGCATGAAGGTGGATGAACAGGAGCTGGTGGCATGGTGGTGACTCAGGGCAGAGGGCAGATCCCAGGAGCTGGCCCCTTCAGCTGTCCTGAGGAGGGGGCCAAAGATTTCTCCAGTGGAACCAGAGCAAGGGTCACATCGCATCTCCACCTCTCCCCTCCCAGACCTCAGACACATGACTGCATCTCCCTGAGCTGTGAAATGGGCACACACCTGCTAAGGGGTGGGAGTGGGATCTTAAAAAGTGCCTGCAGCCAGGCCTGACAAATAGTTGGTGCCTAATGAGTATCCAGTTTTTTCATGTCCTTCTTGAAGGGCCAAAGCTGGAGGAGTGATGGGAGCACATGGTGGGAGAGGGTTTGGGTGGTGCTTGGGGTCCTGGGTCTGTGTCCAGGGAAGGGGAGCTTGGGCCCCCCAAGAGAAGGGAGGCAGGTTAGGGGCAGCAGGCATATGACCTTAGGTGCATCACTTTACCTCTGGAGTATCTGTGAAATGTTGGGGAGGAGTCTTCTGTAGGTGGAGCACGTACAGTTGCTCCTGGGATGTAGAGGAGATGGAGCTGCAGACTCCGATGTGAAGTTGCTCTGAGGCCTGAGGTGGATAAAGTGTGGGCCCTAATGGCCCCTTGTGCACAGTCCTGCCACCAGCCAGGCCCTGGCATGGCCTTTGGGAAACCCCAGGAGGCGGGTTTGCTTCTTTCTGTCTCCATTTTCCCGTCTGTGAAATGGGTACAATCAGATATGCCTTACACATTGGATGTTCGATTCTTCCTTCCCATTCTCCTTCCTCCTTCCTTCTTTCCCTCTATCATCATCTCTCCCTCTCTTATCTGTCTGTCTATCCATCCATCATCCCTCCATCCATCATCCATTCATCATCTGTCTTCTTCAATCTCCCCCTAAACACACACACACACACACACACACACACACACGGTCACAGGTCACCCACCTGTTAAATGGGTGGTTAATGCTCATCAGTGAGGTCCAAGTTTTTACTCGGGGACACTGTATTTTGAAAGGTCAGGTCTGCTAAGCATGCTGAGTGAATCCAGTACTAGCCAATTCATTTCCTCATTTTAAAATGTCAATCAGGCTCTCCTGTAGGTGGATGTTGTGTGGCTCTGAGCCTCCCGGACCCCAGACAAAAGAACTGGAAGCTTGCATAGCCCTGTTTCCCGGAGGCTGCTCACCATGTTCTGGGGGCCTCCAAGGACCCTCAGCTTTTACGGCTGCTTTGCTGACCTGAGGCCCAACTTGCAGGGCTGTGCTTTGGCCTGGCCTCTGCTCTAGTGAGCAGGGCAAAGGAGGGAGTGACCTTTTGTCCTGCTCTGCAAGGGGCTTTCTGTTCCTCATTGTTTAGCCATGACATGGCAGTATTTTTTTTTTTTTTTTGTCCAAGAGGATAAACAGGCGTTAAGATGACTTAAAGGAGAGCTGACCTCCTCTGCCCGCTTAGGCTGGAGTCAGAGAGGCAAGAGGAAGTGTAGGGAAGATCTTTCATAGCAAGATTCAGACAGGAAAAGACCTGGGATGAGAGGCCTCATGGAGGCCACTCCGGGCAGTGACCGGGGGGCCCCGGGGGTCCGGCTGCCTGCCTTTGTCCCGGAACCCTTGCCCTGTGGGTGGAGAGAGAGGCCAGACTTGGCCACAGCAGGGCCCTTTCCCGTCAGATCCTCTGGGCCCTGACAGGAAATCCTCCCCCAGGGAGGGCAGGCCTCCCTGGGCTGCATCTTGGGGAGGAGTCCTTCCCCGCCAGAAGCTGCGGGGCCTGTGGCTCTCAGGGCCCGCAGGGGTGAGGGGCTCCCCTAGTTACATCGAAGGTGCTTGTAGGGAGGAAGCCCACTGTGCGCAGGGTCCTTGAGACCTGTGCCCGCCCCCATGGAGGGCAGGGGGCTGGAGGGAAGGAGCTGTGGCTTCTCCCTATCTGATGGGGGAGGCTGCTGCCCGGGGTGTTCAGTCTGAGCCAGAGGAACAGCAGGCTGCTGCGAGGGGAATGGCGGGGACAGACCAGCCCTCCCATTCCATGTGGTGAATGCACAGGTGAATGTTGGAGTGAAGGGGGCTGCGGGCAGCATGATTCTGTGGTTTTGGGGCTCCCGCAGCCTTTGATCACTGCTCTCTGCCCTGACCCATCCCCAGGTCATCTTGCTCCAGCCTGTGTGCCGGTCAGGTTTGCTCAGCAGCGGGGCATCAGAATCACTTGGGCAGGTTTTTTTTTTTTCTTTTTTTCCCACAGTACAGCTTTCTGGACCCACCCCTGGGCTCCTGACCCTTTGCTGGGGAGGGAGTTGGCATTATAACAGACCCTTCCAAGGTGCTTTGGAAACATGCAGTGCCACACAGTACTCCCAGCCACCTCCAATAAATGGGAGGAGCCCTGAGAAAGGGCTTTGCTTCAGGACCAAACAGGAAAGGGAGAAGCACCAGGACTGTGTGTGTGTGTGTGTGTGTGTGTGTGTGTGCGTGCATGAGTATACACACATGTGTATACACACATGTGTATGCACAGGCATCAGAGCAGGCTGAGAGGACAAGAAAGTACCTCATTTCAGCCCCATGAGATGATTGCTAGAAGGGGGTCATATTCAGTGTTTAAGGAGAGCCCAGAGCAGGAGGAACCTGAATCAGCCTGGGGGACTCAGGGAAGGCTTCCCGGAGGAGGTAGCACTCAGCTGGAAGGATGAAGGGGTGATTACCAGGTGCAGGAGGAAAGAGGGCACAACCTAGGCATGGGCACTTTGTGCTGAGCTCTGATTCCCTGGAGAAGGAAATGGCAACCCACTCCTGTATTCTTGCCTGGAGAATCCCATGGACAGGGGAGCCTGCTGGGCTACAGTCCATGGGGTTGCAGAAGAATGGGGCGTGACTGAGCGACGGAGCACTGCGGTTCTCTGTGGCTGAGGCCACCACCTTCTGGGAGGCTTCAGGGCCTCACGTCTGCTGGGTGTAGGGTTAGGAGCCGGCCCCACCCTCTGGCCAGCTGCCTCGGTGTCTGCCTGCAGACGTGAGTGTGCTACACTGAGGGGGGTGAAGAGGAGATTAAAGAAGGCACCTCTTCTTCCTCTATCTGCCCCCCTCATCCAAGGGAGAAGTCCCCACATGGATAGAACTCCAGGAGGGAGAAAGCCAAACATTTGCTGGGCACAGATGGGGCTGTGGGAGTCCATGCTCATGGCTCTCCTTCCCTTCCCCCTTCCAGGCTGGGTTTACCCCCTACATCCCGGAGCCCGGAAGCTCATGCCGGCAGCAAGAATTCTACAACCAAAAGATCCAGATGTGCTGCAGCAAATGTCCACCAGGTAACGGGTGGCCGCTGGGGCCCTCGCCCTCAGCCTGGCTGGGTCCCTGGGTGCCAGTGCCCTGAAGAGAGTCAGTGTGTGCGGGGGTTAGGGGGTCAGGGTCATGGCCCTAGACTCTTAACTGAGCTCCCTCTGGTTCCATGAATTGACCTCCACGGTCCCTCTTGCTTCTGGGCCGTTGCACATGTCGTTCTCTCTGCCTGGCACACTTCCCAGCAACCTTCCCCAGGTGCACTCCCGTGGATCCTTTAGACCTCGGATGGCCCCCTCCTCCAGGAAGCCTGCCCGCACTGCCTGGCCAGATCGGGCTCTTCCTTTGAGCTCCCGCTGGCCCTTGGCAGCCCCCATGGCAGCAGCTCTTTTTACACTGTGATCGTGGCCTGGATCTCCTCTATGGCCCCCACTGTGCGCTACTTAGGACAGGGACTGTGTGGCTTGTTCTTTGCTGCATCCCCAGCACCTGGCACAACACCTGACACATAGCAGGTATTCAGTGCATATTTGATTGAATCAGTGACTGCTGCCCATTTCTCAGGTGGTGGACCTGAGGCCTCATCCCAGTTGGGAGAGCCAGGCAGCCCAACTCCCAGGGCTGTCCATCCACTCATTTGTTTATATATTCATCCCTGTAATGTTTATAAAGCATCTGCTAAGTGTCAGGCACCGAATGCTGGGAACACAACAGAGAGCAGGGCAGGCAAAGTCCTCACCCTCATGGATTTTGCATTCTAACCAGGACATAAGACATATAAACCAATAGAGGAGACAGACATGTGGTCTGTGAAGGAAACAAGACAGGGCAGGGCAGATGGAGGCAGAGTGGGACGTGATGGTCATGGAAGACCTTTCTGAGGAGCTGACTCGTGGGCAGAGATATGCAGGAGGTGAGTCATTCAGATATACGGGGGGACAGCCCTGCAAAGGCCCTGAGGTTGTTAGCTTGTTTGGTGCACTTGGAGAACAGGCAGGCCAGTGTGTGGCCCCACGTGAGTTAGCAGGGACCATGGTAAGGAGTTTAGATTTTATTCTGCAGAATCTAGAAAGCCACTGGAGAGCTTTGAGCCATTAGCTTGAGATGTGGGCAGGCACAAATGCACCTGTCACCATGGCCATTTTAAGAGATCCCAGGGAAGTGACTCTTCTTTCTTCTGTTAACTGGCAGGGTCTCTGTAAGAAGGCACTTGAATAGCACAGCAGTGAAGGTGCAGGATAGGAATGGGGCTCAAAAGAGAAACTTCTTCAAGGTTTGCCTGGGTGTTCTCAATTGCCTGGCACATCTTTGAGGCCCCAGGAGTCCCATGGCCTCATCCTTGATAGAATACCAGGGATGACTGCTGCTGCCTTTTTTTTTTTTTAACCTTTCTTAGATGAAGAATTTCAGCCAACTATAAAGAAGAAAGGATAAGACTTCCCTGGTGGTCCAGTGGTTAAGACTTTGCCTTCTAATGCAGGGGCTGTGAGTTCCATCCCTGGTCAGGAAGCTAAGATCCCACATGCCTTGTGGCCAAAAAGCAAAGCATGAAACAGAAGCAATCAATAAAGACTTTAAAAATGGTCCACATCAAAAAAAAGTGTTTTTTTAATAAGAACTGGTAAACGAGTTCTTACTGAAGTGTTATTGACTGATAATCGGCAGTTCCAATGGTGGAATTCCAGGTACCTGAAAAGAGCAGAAAAGGAAGGGTTAGTCACTTAGTCATGTCCAACTCTTTGCGACCCCATGGACTATATCCCACCAGGCTCCTCTGTCTATGGAATTCTCCAGGCAAAAATACTAGAGTGAGTAGCCATTGCCTTCTCCAGGGAATCTTCCCAACCCAGGGATCGAACCTGGATTTCCTGCATTGCAGGCAGACTTTTTACCATCTAAGCCACCAGGCAAGCCCTAAAAAAGAGCAGAGAGGAAGATATTTTAGGAGCACTTTAGGGTTCAGAGATGGAGTGATGGCTGGTACACTCTAGATGGGAGATGATGCAGGAGTTGAAACTCTATCAAAGAGCCTCCCAACTAGGCCTCAGAACTCTGGGGTGCTGGAGGACAGAGGATGAGCCTGGGTCCTGGCAGAAGCCACCCCCTGCCCCATTGCCCTCCTCCACTGAGACTCCTGGCCTTCACTTTTTCAGGCTACCGTGTACAGTCTTCATGCAATACGACCTCAGACACCGTATGTGCCTCCTGTGAGAGCAGCACATACACCAAGCTCTGGAACCTGGTCACTGCGTGCTTTAGCTGTAACTCGCGCTGCAGCTCTGGTGAGTTGGCTCAGAGTAAGGGGTGGTCCTGGGCATCCTCTCCTGGCCCCTGTGAACTCCAGCCCCTTTGCCCTTGAGCTGGCTGGGCTTATTCTAGACCTTTGTTTTCATACCCGAGGACACATGTACAGTACAGCTCTTCACTGTTTATCATCCTCTTCAATAACCCCTTGGGGCAGGCAGGCCAAGAGCAGCAGTGGGGAAACAGTGCCCGTTGTTAGAGTTGAGGATATTGTGCCTGGGAAAGTAGGTGTACTTGTTCATACTGTGACGGAGACTCTGTGGCCAGCAGTCTTTATGCCCCTTCCCGAGGCCAGTGCAGAGGTCTGCTGTCTGTGGGTGGTGGGGCTGGGTGGAAAGACAGAGTGGGCGTGGCTATGAGCGTGGCCGGTGGAGGGAGGAGTGACCCTCGGCCGTCTTCTCCTTTCTCTAGACCAGGTGGAAACTCAAGCCTGCACAACGAAACAGAATCGCATCTGCACCTGCAAGCCAGGCTGGTACTGCACCCTGGGGAGGCAGGAGGGCTGCCGGCTGTGCGTGGCTCTGCGCAAATGCGCCCCTGGCTTCGGCGTGGCCAAACCGGGTATGGGGCCAGGGCCAGAGGTCCTTAGGGTACCCCCTTGGGTCTCTCCTTCCTAGGAACATCATCAGGGCGGCCAGGTGCCGCTTACCCATCTGTCCACTCGTCCCAATTCATTCTTCCCTCCAGCCCTCCTGTTCAGGCACCTCCTGTGTGGTAGGCCCTGGGGATCCAGAGATGATCAAATTAAACCTCAAGCTACTGGAAAGTCAGGTGGTGCCCCAGGAAGACAAAGTCACTAGAATTAGTTAAGGACAGACCACCCAGGGGTGTGTGTGTGTGTGTGTGTGTGTGGTGTGAAGGGGTGGAAGTGCAGACAGAATCTTTCACCTCCTCAAGACTCCCCCGGGCTCCATTTCCCCTAGAGCCAAGGCCCACCTTTTCCATGGCGTATCTGAATTGGTGACAGTTTCCAATTTTTTGTGAAGGAACTGCAACAACAAATGTGATATGCGCTCCCTGTGGCCCGGGGACGTTCTCAGACACAACATCACACACGGATACCTGCAGGCCCCACCGGAAGTGAGTGGTTGCATCCTCTGGTTCTAAAGGAACAGGGAGGGGCTATTCCCCCAGTGATCATGAGGCTTCCAGCACAGATCAGCTGGGCCACAGTGCCTGGGATCTCCCCAGTTACTTCCTTGGGCGGAGGCATTGCCGAGCCTGCTCCAGTGTTAGGACTGGTTTATCTGACAGTGGGCGGGTGGGTCTCTGAACAGCCTGGTGAACAGGAGTTTTGTCCTAGAAGTGAGGGGTGGGGAGCATGGGGATAGGTCGGGTGGGGACAGGAAGGGACAGTCTTGAAAGAGGGCGTGGCATGCAAACTCCCTCCCCTATCCCAGTTGCTGGGCCCCTTGCATGTCAGCCTGGCTCCCATGGGTGAGCCCAGCTACCCTGAGTCATTCAGTCCCAATCACACCTTCTCCTCCCACAGCTGTAGTTCCGTGGCCATTCCTGGTACCACATCGACAGATGCAGTCTGCACCCCTGTGCTCCCCACCCGGAAGGTGGCCCGGGGCCCAGCCACCACAAGATCGCAGCACAAGGAGCCGACTCCAGGGCCCAGCACAGCTCCAAGCACCTTCTTCCTCCTCCCAAAAGTCCCAGGTCCTCCAAGTTCCCCAGTGGAACAGCCCAACACAGGGAACATCTCTCTTCCCATTGGTAAGTCTCAAGAGGTCCCGTTCATCCTTGCTCCCTCCCTTCTGTCTTAGCGTGTGTGTGCTAAATTGCTTCAGTCGTGTCTGACTCTTTGCAACCCCAAGGGCTGTAGCCTGCCAAGCTCCTCTGTCTGTGGGATTTCCCAGGCAAGAATACTGGAATGGGTTGCCATTTCCTCCTCCTGGGGATCTTCCCGACCCAGGGATTGAACCCGCATCTCTTATGTCTCTTGCATTGGCAGCCAGGCTCTTTACCACTAGTGCCACCTGGGAAGCCCTCTTAAGAGTCTGACCAAGAGCTTGTTATGGGCTGGACCCTGTGCTCCATCCTGGGATGCAGGAGGCATGGAGACTTGCTTTCCTCCAAGATTTAGCAATGCCACTAGGAATTCCTGGGTGGGGAGGCACAGGGTCCCTGTTTTATCTCAAAGTGGAGATGGTCTTCTGGTTGCCATTTCTGGTGAAACACTAGGCTTTGACAGTGGGCTGGGCCAGGTCACTGTGTTGGGGCCTTCCCTTCTGGACTACACCAGAGGGCTCAAACTTGTGGTCCTCAGGCTGAGTGTGGCCCACAGGCGTGTTTTCTTTGGTGCATGGATTTTGGTTTGTTTGTTTTATAATCAAATTTCAGAGTCTCTGCCCTGGGCTTGTCCCTTGCCTGCAACAGCCCCAGTCATCTTTGGTCATTAACTGACCTAGTACATTTGAGTTTCCTTGATTTGGCTGGGGCTTCCCAGGTGGTGCTAGTGGTAAAGAACCCACCTGCCAATGCAAGAGATGTAAGAGAGGCGGGTTCGTTCCCTGGGTCGGGAAGATTCCCTGGAGAAGGGCATAGCAACCCACTCCAGTATTCTTGCCTGGAAAATCCCATGGAGAGAGGAGCCTGGCAGGCTATAGTCCATAGGGTCACACAGTTGGACATGCGACGTAGCATGCACACATTGGGCCGTGGTTGCAACCCTTCGGGCTCTCTAGTTGTGGCACGCTGCCTTAGTTGCTCCAAGCCATGTGGGATCTTAGTTCCCCAACCGGGGATACAGTCCACATCCCCTGCTTTACAAAGTAGGTTCTTAACCACCGGACCCCCAGGGAAGTCCCAAGTTTACTTTTTGAACTTCTCTTTTCCTTCTAGGACTGATTGTGGGGGTGACAGCATTGGGTCTGCTACTGATAGTTGTCGTGAACTGTGTCATCATGACCCAGAAAAAAAGTAAGATTCAATCCTTCCTTCCTTCCTTCATTTGTTTATTCCCTCATTCAGGGAGTTTTTCTGGGGGGCCTCCTCTGAGTCCAGCACTGGGCACAGCTTTATGGGTCAGACAGAGCTGGGTCTGGTAGACCCTGTTCTTAGGAGCTTAGAGCCTGGGGCAGAGGGCATTTCCACTAACTCATCTAGTACAAGGTGAGATGCTATAAAGGCTATCCAAGAGGTGGGAGTCCAAGATTCTTGTCTAGAAATTCTAGGGGATTCAGCCCTTATGGAGCAGATGGCATCTGAGCTGGCCAAGATTTTGATGGAGACATGAGTATAGGAAAGAGAGGGCATGCAGAGCAGTGGCGTGTGGTATGGACAAAGTGGGCCAGGCTAAAGAATGGTGGGTGTTGCGGAGGGGAGGGGAGCAATGTCAGGCCGGCTGGAGGGTTGGGTATGGGGGCTTCTGTGTACCTTGTCTGGTAGGTAATTGCTCCCCTAGGACTGAGCCTACTCTGAAAGCTTCTGCTTGGGCCCCATGCTCCCTGTTAGTTAAAAAAGATGTGACCTGAAGAAGTTGCTTACTGACTAGTCCCTTTCTCCTCTCTGCAGAGAAGCCCTTCTGTCTGCAAGGAGACGCCAAGGTGGTGAGTGCCCCTCTGCCTGCCCCCTCTTCCTCCATGGTATCCTTCTTGCTGGGCCGGGTTGTCCCATAGGAAGTTGTGAATTCTGTAGGTTGGTCTGTCCAGCCTCAGGCAGGATGCAAAGCCCCAGGAGGCTGCAGAAAGACCAGCCAGGGTCTGTTATGGGGGCTGATAAAGGTGGCATCTGAGCTGGGCAAGATTTTGATGGAAACACGAGTGCAGGAAGGAAAGGGCATGCAGAGCAGTGGGGTGTGGTTGGACAAAGCAGGGCAGGCTGAAGAATGGTGGGTGTCGGGGAGAGGAGGGGAGCAATGTTGAGCTCAGACGACTGAGCATGAAAGGCCACATCAGGGAACAGTAAGGGTAAGTGGGGTCAGTGGCAAGCATGTGGTCATGGACCCATGCTGTGACCTTGGGCTGACATGAAATTGCTCATGGCTGGTTCCTCACCATTAAGTGTGGACACTGTCTCAGCCCCACTTGTAGGACTGTGCCTTTCACCCAGCTGGCAGCAATTCCCAGCATCTCCGAGATGTTTGCAAAGCACTTCCACATTGTACAGTGGCTTTCAAACTGCGTGCTAGGGTACCCCTGTGTTCCACCAAGGGTCCTGCCTGGGGCAGTGGTGGGGGGTCAACTTTGAGGTTGAGATCAAGGCTAGGGGACTGGACCCAGGGCCTCCCCCAACTTCAACCAAAGCAACTCACTTTTGATCATTTTTATGAAGTAGGATCTGTGCAGGATTTTTGCTAGAAACAGAGCACCAACATTGTATTTCATCAGTTTTCCATCAGGAGGGCATTTGGCTGCAAGTAACCAAAAGCTTAAGGGTGACTTCAAAGGGCTGTATTTTCTGTTGGGGTGTTGCTGATTGCTGGAATGATTCAGTTGCATCCTTCTGTGAGGCCAGCAGTACCCCAGGCTCTGTCATCTTTAGTGTGTTGGCTTTTATTCTCTTGCCTGTGGCCTGTGTCATAAGATGGCGATCACCACTGCATATGTGACCTCCAGTCTGAGGCAGGAAAAAGAGGGGAAACAGCCAGATGCCATTTTACAGGAAATCAGACACTTTCCTAGAAGCCCTGGGTACATTTCTTCTTTTGTCTTATTGGCCAAATGGTATCACGTGACCACCTCTAGCTGCAAGGGAGGCTGGAAAAGGTGGTGTTTTGCTTTTCTAGCCTTTATGGTGGAGGAGAACTGGGGAGAGGTCTTGGAAATGGATGTGGGGTGAGCCAGTACATGCTGTGTACTGCAGCCCCATGTCAGGTAGGCAGGGAAGGTTTTTTCTTGCTTATTTGTTTGTTTTGGATGTGCTGGATCTTAGTTATGGCCTGCAGGGTGTTTGTTGTGGCATGCAGGATCTTTTGTTGCAGCACATGGGATCTAGTTCCCTGACCAGGGATTGACCCTGGGCTCCCTGCATTGGGAGCACAGAGTATTAATTACTGGACTGCCAGGGAAGTCCCTAGGGCAGGTTTTTTACCCAAATTTACAGATGAGGAAACAAGACTCCAGGAGTTCCCTCCATGTCCCCTGTCCTGCTGGGGCAGGGCTTCTCAAACCTGCTGCCAATTCTTTGTAACGAGGGGCTATCCTGTGTATTATAGCTTTTTCAGTGATATCATTGGCCTCTCCCTACGTGATGCCAGTAGCACTGCCTCCCAGGAGTGAGAATCAAAGTGTCTCCAGACATTGCAAAATGTTCCCTGGAGGACAGACACCCTCCATTGGGAACCACTGTGCTAGGGGACAGCTCAGCCCTGAGGTTTATACAGGGTTTTGGACTTGGTAGGAACAAGACTGGTTTCATCTCCTGATTGTCCCAACAAGAAAAGAAATACAGAGAGGGAAAGTGACTTGCCCAAGGTCACACAGCATTACATCTCTGGACTCCTGGCTAGTGCTTTTTGACATGCCCTACAGTGAAAGTGAAAGTCACTCAGTCGTGTCTGACTCTTTGCAACCCCACAGACTATACAGTCCATGGAATTCTCCAGGCCAGAATACTGGAGTGGGTAGCCATTCACTCCCTTCTCTAGAGGATCTTCCCAATCCAGGTCTCCCACATTGCAGGTGGATTCCTGCTGAGCCACGAGGGAAACCAGACAGAAACACTGGTTTGGAGATACAAACCATTTCTCATTCCTCCAGGGTGCCAATGCCACACCCTCCTTTCTCGCGCTTCAGTTCAGTGACACTGGAAGCTGAGACCTGGTGGCCCATAGAATAAGTGTGCCCTCTAAGCTCCACCCCAGCACCCAGCTGCCACTTTCTCTTTCCTGGACTGAGTATCTCCCAATCTTTGGTGCAATAAAGCTGCTTCAGGTGTGGCCCAGAGCCCCCGCTCCCCTTTCTGTTTGCGCAGTTTTGTGTTTACCGAGTGTGAACGACCCCACTGCTGTTTGTTGAGTGCTATTGCCAGTGGAAGCCAGGGGTGTGCTGGTAACTGGCCCTCTGGGTGGGGGAGGACCCAAACCCTGATTTGTGGAGTTTGCTCATTTCTGTGTTATAAACACTCCCACTGTGACTGATTTCAGAAAGCTACTTACTGAATGTAAAGTTGGGAGGAAACACACATAGGTCTGGGCTGGTTCCAGCACCCCACTGGCTGAGCCCCAGGCTAGGCCCTGAATCCTCACACACAGCCCTATGAGGTACAGGCTGTCATCACCCCACTTCACAGATGAGGAAACTGAGATTCAGGGAGCTTCAGGTATCCGCATGAGGTTAGACCACCAGCTGAATGGCAGAGCCCAGGTTTGAAACTCATTCTGAGTCTGCAGGGCTTGTATTTACCTACCTTCCTGGTTGCCCAGAGAAGACATTCAGAATTGTTCCAGGCATCCCTGTCCCCAGCAGGGACTGCCCTCAGAGGTTGATCTTCAGCCCCTTCAGTCCCCGGGCTTGCACCCTGCCCTGACCCCTGTGCTCCGCCTGCACCTCACTCTGTTCCTCAGCCTCCTGGCAGTGGTCTGTTAACAGCTGCCTAGTAACGCTCCTGGCCAGACCAGTGGGGTTGAGAACACGGTGACTCAGCACCGCCCTGCCCCTCCTGGTAACACCAATACATGGAGAGACAGTAGCTTCCCTTTGTTCAGAAAAGACCAGTGTAACCACATGTATGAGCTCAGTCACCCCCACAGACACGCTCATCCACAGGCTCTCGTTTCATAAAGAGGGTGATGTTTATGAGGTGCTGAGCGTGGGCCAAGCACAGTACTGAGTGTTGCTTAGCCTCACAGCCGTGCTGCGACCCAGGCAGTGCAGTTATTGCCCCGCTTTTACAGCCCAGGAGTCTCGGGCTCAGAGAAGTTAAGTAAGTTTCCCAAGGTCACACAGCAAATGAGTGGCCTGAGACACAGACCCAGGAGTGCCTCTTTTTACCACCTCCGGCACACACGCAAGTTGCACCACTCACAGTCATGCACCCATGCTCCCCACACATAGAGACACACATGTGGGCATACCTCAGACATTTTCCCACCTATACTTATGGGCACGGGAGCTTCAGGGACACACTCTCACACATACAGACAGACACAGGCCAGCCAGCAACTCTGCCAGGGCCTCTGCTCCTGCCCATGGCAGGGCCAGGCTGGGACATGACCGGGAGGCTAACTGGGATCCTGTTTGTTGAATGACCCCCCTCAGTAACCGCCATCCATACCTCCCTGGGGTGCCAGCCCAGGACTCAGAATGTATCAGCTCCACTCAGAGTCTGCCTGAACTTAGCAACTCGTGGCTTTGGGGGAGGGAGGCAGGCTGTGACCTTTGGGGGTTTCTGTTCTGCCTGGCCCTTACCACCAGCAGAAAGGCGGGACACAGGCTGAAAAGCCCCCTTCTGTGGGGGATGTGAGGGATGACCTTTGGATGTTTCTTCTCCTGTTCCTGCTCCCCCGCCTGTCCACTCTCAGAGCAGGGTCAGGGGTGGGGTCCAATAACAAGGTCAGACTATCTGAGCGAAGAAAGGTTCAGGATGAACTTGAAATGCCCTCCCTTCCTCCAACGTCGTCGAGGGCACTGAGCCAGGGAGGCAGGACTCAGTCGGAAGCACGCAGCTGTGGTACAGTGAGTGGGGCTCCCCCTGCCCCTGCCATGGGCCCGCTGCGGGATATTAAGAAGGGACTCACCCTCTCTGGGCCTCCGTGGCCTCATGGGGACTGCTTTCAAAGGATCCTCCCAGCCTGAGAGTCTGAGCTGGCCTTCAGATATGCAGGGCTCAGGGGGGACTGGGGGCCTGGGGCTGTGGAAGTTGGCACATGAGTCCTTTCTGCGTCCTCCACCTCTGACCCCACCTCCCCGACCCTGCCAGGCTGCGTCCTAGCACTCATTCACCTCAGTTCTCAATCTACCCTGGACCCTCTCATCCTGGATAGGGGGTGAGAATGTGGCCCCTCGGTCTTTTTCTTTCTAGAATCCAGTGATTGCCCAGAACCCTAAGGCAAGGGCTTGTGTACCTGGTCAGTTGTAGACAGGTAGCCAACCACCTCGGAGTGAAATTTCTGGCACAGGTGTCTGAAAATGGGGCACCTTGTCTTGAACTTCCAGGGACAGAACCCAAAACACTCAAGAAAGATGTAAGTTTTAGCCCAGATGCACCATGTCCTAACTGTGTGACCTTGGGCAAGTAGCTCAACCTCTCTGGGCCTCAGCTTCTATGTCTGCAAAGCGAGGATAACATTCGGCTGTATAGATAGTGTCTGGAAGGGCTTCAGCACGGTGATTGGCATTGGATGGATTCAAGTGTCAGCTAATATTTTATTATGGTTGTTGTTGTGACTTGTGTTTTAAGAGAAAAAGATCGAGGATCACAGAACAGCTTGGGGAATGGAATCTGGAAAGTGTCCCTGAGACAGCAAGACAGAGAGCCCTAAATGAGAGGACTGTCTACACTAGATTGAGGGCCAGCAGACTTTTTCTGTAAAGGTCCAGAAAGTCAATATTGTAGGCTTTTTGGATCCTCTGGCCTATGTTATCGCTTCTCAGTTGTGACACTGCAGTGGGAAAGTAGCCACAGACACAACCTTAACAAATGGGGGTGGCTGTGTGCCAAGAAAACTATATTTATGGACACCAGTGTTTGAACTTCACGTAACTTCGTATCATGAAACATTGTTCCTTAAATATTTTTTCGTTCATTTAAAAATGCAAAAACCATTCTTAGCTCACAGCCTGTACAGAAACAGCAGCAGACAAGACTTGGCCCCTGGCTGTAGTTTGTTAAGCCCTTATTTTTTTAAAAAAATTTATTTATTTCGACTATGCTGGTCTTCGTTGCTATGCACGGGCTTTATCTAGTTGCGGAGAGTGGGGGCTGCTCTCTCGCTGTTGTGTTCCAGCTTCTTGTTTTGGTGACTTCTCTTATTGTGGAGCATGGGCTCTAGGCATTTGGGCTTCAGTAGTTGTGGCTTGTTGCTCTGTGGCATGTGGAATATTCCTGGACCAGGGATCGAACCCATGTTCCCTGCATTGGGAGGTGGATTCTCAACCACTGGACCACCAGGGAAGTCCAGAGCCCTGATTTAACAAACCCTTGATGGGTGCTTAATATGGAACAGGCACTGTTGTTAGTGCTTTACACAACTTCAGTCATTTAATTTTCTCAATAACCCTGGGAGGTAGCTTTATTATTCTTGCCTTTCTAGAGGAAAAAACAGAGGAACAGAGAGGTTAAGTAACTTGTCCAAGTTTGCAGAGCTAGTCAGTGATGGAGTCATGGTTTGCACACTTATGGTCTGGTTCCAGGGTCCATGCCCTTGACTGCTAGGCTGAGCCACATCACCCTGTGACCTTAGGAGAGTCACTCTCCTTATCTGGGCCTCTGCTTCTTTATGCAAAATGAGGGTGAAAACCCTGCCTCACCTCTCAGACTGTTCAGTAAACAGGGCCATGTGGCGCCTGCCCTCCTAGGGCTCACACTCCAGAGGTTAATCACAGAAGCCCCAGAGAATCACACGTCCTAAAAGTGCTGTGCGTGGAGAGAAGGTGCAGAAGTGCCGAGGGTGGTGAGCGGGACGAGGGGGCGAGGAGCCAGCTGATGGGTTCCCTGCCCTCATCCTCCTCCCCACGCAGCCTCACCTGCCCGCCAACAAGGCCCAAGGTGCCCCAGGCCCTGAGCAACAGCACCTGCTGACCACGGCGCCAAGCTCCAGCAGCAGCTCCCTGGAGAGCTCGACCAGCACCACGGACAAGAAGGCGCCCATCAGGTCTCAGCTGCAGGCGCCAGGCGCGGATAAGGCCAGCAAGACGGGGGAGGCTCGGACCAGCTGCGGCAGCTCAGGTAAGAGGTGGGAGCTTCCCCTCCGCCCCACCCCCGGCTTCATCCCCTGCGGCACCCCCCCTTGTTTCTTCCCGGTTTCTGTCTGAGCCAGCTAGTCCAGGGCCACCCCTGCAGGACACTGGATGCCCTGCACCACCAGCCTGGGCTCCCCGCCAGCCTCCCTTCCACCACCCTCTCAGGTGCAACTGAACCACAGGCTTCTTTCTGTATTTGGAGCCCACCAAGTCCCTCCAACACTTGCCCTGCGTGTTCTCCCACCAGGAGCTCCCTTCCTTCTAAACTATTTCAGATTGTCCTTTGAGTCCCTGGTATCCAGGCAGAGAGTCTTCTTATAGAATACATATAATATGTAAAGTGGCATATAACAATATTATATTTCAAAGCTGTGTTCTGTAAATATTGCATATCATATATTAAAATATTGATCTATATTAATGTCATATAAAATACATTATATATAGCACATAATATAATATTATGGCTTCCCAGCTGGCTTAGTGGTAAAGAACCCTCCCGCAAAGCAGGAGACACAGGTTCAACCCCTTGGTTGGGAAGATCCTCCTGGAGAAGGAAATGGCAACTCACTCCAAGTATTCTTGCCTGGGAAATCCCATGGACAGAGGAGCCTGGTGGGCTACAGTCCATGGGGCTGCAAAGAGTTGGACATGACTTAGTGACTAAACAATAACAAAACAATATGATATTATATATAGATATTATACTTATATGAGTGTTATAGCACTATATTAATATTCTAGATTAATGCTATATATAATATATAGCATATAGCATAATATTATTTATTAACTTTATAATGTCTTAATTATATAACATTTGTTGTATATTATGGGTTATATTGTATATTATATAGGATATTACTATATATGTTATATATAATATATTTATTAATACATGATATTAAAATTGGATTTTAATATATCATTATATTATGCATGCTAAGCCACTTCAGTCGTGTCCGACTCTTTGCCACCCCATGAACTATAGCCTGCCAGGCTCCTTTGTCCGTGGGATTTCCCAGGCAAGATTACTGAAGTGGGTTACCATTTTCTTCTCCAAGGGATCTTCCTGATCCAGGGATCAAACCTGAGTCTTCTGCTTGGCAGGCGGATTCTTTACCACTGAGCCACCTGGGAAGCCCCTATTATATATTATAGTTATATTATTGCTATATAGTACATTGTGTACACCCAATAAACAGAAGAGCCAGAGTCATCCCTGGGCTCTTGGGAGACAGGGTTGGGCGGAATGAGTAGATGATACCCCTGGTCTCCACCCGCTGTGCCTGTTGTCTGGTCCATTTGGGACTGAGGCATCAGGACTGTGGAGCCTGTGTGGGGTCTGGAGAAGCCTGTGCCCTGCTTACAGTCTGCATTTTGTCCTGGACCTGGTCTGTGACTACTGTCATCCTTGGTGGGCATTGGCAGTGCCCACATTGGACGAGGGCCCTGGGTGGGGTCCTGCAGAAAGCCTGGGGCTTCCTTGGGCATGTTTTGTACTGAGAGGCCAAGCCCACTGGCCTGTATCTCCCCTCTCACCTGGCAGTGCTGGCTGGCAGGTCAAGGAATGACCGTGAACTTGGGTCATTCTTAGATGCCTTCCCAGCAGCTCTGGTGCTGTGAGATTCTGAACAGGCTCCTTAACCCACCAAGCCTCAGTTTCCTGGTCTAGAGGTGAGCATGGCATCTCCTGGGCAGGGCTGCGGCAGCCTTCCCTCTCTGCCACCTGACTCGGGGACTGGCTGGAAACTTCTAGTTTCCCATCATAGCCCACCCTCATCAGTGTGAGACCTTGTCAGTGCCCCCACCGCAGCCTGAGAACTCCCCAGTGAAGGACCAGGCCAGTGCCTGCAACATAGCCAGTGGCCCTAAATGTTTGTCAAGTGAATAAATGAGATCCAAACATAAACTCTTGGTCTTTGCCCCCCTCTTAGATTCATCTTCCTGCATTCTTAGTGACACCTCTTCCACACCCAATGTGGTGTGGCTTCCTCTTTGGAGACCCGTGTCTCTGTCTGCCTACCCCATCTACCAGCTGTCTCTTCCCCGTTCGCCTCCTGAATCTCTGGCCTCTGCACCAACTTCTCTCCCTCTCACCCAACACCTCTCCCCACTGTGGGAACGGGTAAACCTCAGGTCTCTGTCCCCTCCTGCTCCCCCGTCTGCCCCCGCAGTGTCTCATTCACAGTATGCAAAGGCCATGGTGACGCTGGGTGACATTTGGGTGCCATGAAGGCACAGGGTGGAAATTTCCTTCCACCCCGTGATTTCAGCTCCCCATCCCCACCCTTGCTTCTTTGGGGCTGTGTTTTTTTTTTTTGCTTCGTTAATGCTTTTTATTTGATATTTTTATTTTTTTAAGACTTTTTTTGCAGTGAATTTTTTTAAAATTTTTTTTAAAAATTTAAACTTTTTATTTTCTATTGGGGGTATATCAATATGGATACTTTTTCACTTCTGTTGGGGTGTCACAATGTTGTGATAGTTTCAGGTAAACACTGAAGGGACTCAGCCATACATACACATGTATCCATTCTCCCCCAATGTCCCCTCCCATCCAGGCTGCCACGAGTTCAGAATCTCTGATTCTTTGTGGGGATTGTGTTTTGATCTTCAAACACCTTCGATTGCCTTATGTGGTTGGCACCTTCCGTCTGTGGGGTAAATCGGGCAGGATATTCTTATTTGACAAATGAAGAAACTGAGGCACTTGAAGGTTCAAGTGGCTTGTCCAAGAGTACACAGCAAAACTGGGCTGGCGCAGGGGCCTGCGCTCCTGGCCCGGTGCTCTTTCCGCATGTCTGAATCTGCCTCTTGGGCAGGAGACAGGCTGTGAAGACACTCCTCTCTCCAAGAATCCCCCACTGACCACCTTCTCCTGTCTTGTGTGTAGCAGAGGCATCCTCTGGTGGCCATGGGACCCAGGTCAACGTCACCTGCATCGTCAATGTTTGCAGCAGCCCTGATCACAGCTCGCAGTGCCCCTCCCAGGCCGGCTCCACGAGGGACACAGACACCAGCACCCCCAACTCCCCGAGAGAGGAGCAGGTCCCCTTCTCCAAGGAGGAAAGCCCCTTTCAGTCCCAGCCGGGGGCCCCAGAGACTCTGCTGCAGGGCCTGGAGGAGAAACCCCTGCCGCTCGGCGTGCCTGATGCAGGAATGAAGCCCAGTTAACCCGGCTGGTCGTGGGCTGTGTCACCGCTGAGGGGGGGCCAACCTCTGGTGCTTCTCCGCCCCTCCCCTCCCCCAGGACTCTGGCTCTTTCTGGGCCAAATTCCTTTGTGCACAGCCTCAGCCTTCCTCTCACCTGCAGGCAGAAGAATGAGGCGGGGAGAGTCATGATGTGTCCTGTCTTGGTGTGTGTCTAACTTGGAAGGCTGGCGGACACAAATGTGCTGGGCAGCCTGGGACAAGCCCTTGCCTCTCTGAGAGCTGCCCCCCAGCCGGTCCTGCAGTCTTGGCTTCTGGAGCCCTTGTGGTTTTGGGGTTTTATTATTATTATTTTTTAATCCCTGGACTCTATTCAGCTCTGGCTTCTTGTCAGGGAGGAAGGATGCTGTGTGTATCAGTGGAGAGAGATAGTGGAGAAAGGCAGGACTTTAGCCTGAATGGGAGACTGCAGGATGGTCCCAGTGAGGGTGGGCAGGTGTCATTAAGTCAGATGGTTCTATGTGGGGAGAGGGTGGCGACCCCTATAAGGGTCCCCCAGGTTAGCTCAGGACCCTGGGCAGCACCACCTCCAAATCCACTCCTGCTATCTCCATCTCATACCATGGGCTAAAAACTGGATGCCCAGAGGGCCCGGGCAGGCAGCCTTCTCAGTGAGTGCCGTGACCTGGTTAAGATGCCAAATCTCTAACTGGAAATCTTCTAGTTTAAACTTGTGGCAATTAAAAAAAAGAAAAAAGCACCATGGTGCAGACAAACAAGCCACAGTGTAACAAAGCCAGACTCAAGAGTTTGCATCCTCTGCCTTTGACCTTCACTCCCATTTACCCACAGCGCCAGCTTCCCCTCCCCTACTGTTTGGTGTGGGACTCCAAGGCCACACCTTTTCCTATCAGGGAATTTCAGGAACTGGAGATGACTGAGACCCTGCAGCCATCTCCTCCTACCTCAGCCTGGACCTTCCTCTTTTGCCTCCGGAAGGGGTGTACCTGTTTCTCTCGACGCCTCCTCCCACTGCGCCTGAAGTCCCAGGTCCCAGTGGAGCCTCAGAGCCACTGTGCCCACCAAGATCCTGGGTGGATATGAGATGCTGAGAGCTGGTCTTGTGTCTGTGTGTCTGTGTTGTATATTGTGGTTCCGTGTGGCCTGTGTTGTCAGGTCAAATGACCTTCCGGGAGCTGAAGTGCTGAAGCCAACACTTGGGCTGGCGGATTCTTCCCCATTAAGGAGTCCCCCCACTCCCCAAAATATATGCCCAGGCCCTGCAGACGATGGACAAGTGAGGCCTTAGCCAGATTCTGGAAGGCAGGGGGATGGGGGCCTCCTTGAGAGGACAGCTGGATCCCATATTACTTGGATCCCTTGTTGAAAAATTCCACTGAACTTGAACTTGGCAGCTGAACTTTTAGAGGGTAGAAGAAGCCCAGCCATTACCCTGAAGAAAGGCTTCCCACGCTGGGATCAAGATGTCCCCGTGCCTGGACTGGCGAGTCTCCAACCGCGTTGGATCCTTTACGGCCGTGGAGCACTTCTGCCCCCTGGTGGACTATTCTGGGAGGACCTTAGACTTCCGTGCTGTCACCCCCACAGAGCCGGGATGAATTAGGAGACTCTGGGTATGGCTTCATTTTGTTACCAGAGTGGCCGCTAGACCCTTGGTCAAAACCCACTGACCCCCTCCCTTGAACAGGATCTCACATGTACCTTTTAAGTCACAGGATTGGAACACGAAGAAAGAAACTATAGGAAGAGAAAAATAAAAACTGGATAGAACCAGCTGAAACCAAGATGGAGATGCATCTGACCTCCAGCAGACCCCGAGTCTCAGTTGACACTGATTTTACTACATTAGCTACTCAATGACATACCTACTGGTCGCTGTGACCAGAAATCACTGACCAAAAAAGGACAGAAAAGAGGTGGCACCCCATTTCTAGGAAAACCCTGCCTCTTTCCCAGAAAACAAGAGCATTTGCCTCCCCATCATCCCTCGCACTCTTCCCCCCATTGTTCTTAATAGCAAATCTGGTTCCCCATTAAGGCGAGAAGTTTGTTTATGAACGTTTAATAAGTTCCCACTTCTCCATTCTCTGACCAATGAGTAAAGCTTATGCTGCTGTACTCTCAGTTTCCATTTTGGGTTTGGTTGTGTGAACTCAAACAGAAAAAGAACCTTCTCTGCCAAGGTAGGGCCCTTGACCAGGCCAGGGCCCAAGTGCTGGGGGGAGTCCATTTGACCTAACTGATAACAGTTTTCCCAGCTTGTGAGCTTGTGTTGATCCCAAGGACAAGGAGAGTTTGCACTGTATGTATCCTGACAGCATTCCTGCTTATGAATAAACCTTTTATTTGTTTTTTACTTTGACTGCTGGCTCTGTCTTCAGGTCTGAGCTGGGGTATGTCCTTGGTTCTGCTGCCTGTCACCAAGGTAAGGGGGAAAATGGGTCTTGGCCACTGGATTCTGACAAGTCCATTCTGTGCTGGACCCCAGAAGCACCCCCATTACAGCTGCCCTTGCTGAGAGCCTGGCCGCTTCCTCAGGCATAGAATGGACAGTGCTTTTTGTCCAGAACCACCCAGCTGGCCTCCAAATAGGTCCTCAGCACACATCCCATCCATCGCCTTGGTCTCCTCAGCCTGCCCTTGGGGTTGGGATGGTCTCTGCAGGTATGCTCAGCATGTGCAGCCCCCTACTCACTCAGGGGAACAAGACTCTGGTCTCCAGCAGGCCCCAATCACTCGATACTCCAGTTGTAAGCCGATAAGTTCTCCAGAACCAGGCATGGCTTTCTTAACAGAAGAGAAACCATTTTGTAAGCTTAAGTCCAGCCACAATGCTTGTACTTGAACCGGCCTCAGTAACTACTGATCTTAAGGGAACAGAAGAATGGAGAAACAAAGGACTATTATAGGGGAAGAGAAGTGATAATAGCAAAGATGATGTACCAGTTCTAAAGCCCCCCATTTCTATTTCACTGGTAAAGATTAGCCTGAAATGCTCAACCACCAGATCAACCAGAACCTGAGGGATGATGATATTGACCTTTTCTGACCATTGTGACTTCAGTCCACTTAGACTCAACTTAAAAACTTAGACTCTGCCTACAGCCCAGGCCCCTTCATGAGTATATGTGTGACTTTAGCTTAAAACTTGCGCAAGTTTTCTATTCAGGGGGACATTACTTGGGGAAAGATCTCTGGTGTTCTCCTTACTCACTGCAAATAATCATAAATCCTTCTTGGGACTTTTCTGGCAGTTCAGTGATTAAGATTTCTAACTACCAATGCAGGAGGCGCAGGTTCGATTCCCAGCTGGGGAACTCAGATACTGTATGCCACTCAGCACAGCCAAAAATGAATAAATAAATAAAAATTAAAATGTAAATACATAAAAATAAAAAGGGGAAATTGAAGTAATAGTAAATACTTCCTTCTCCTGATCTCTGACTTGGTTGTGTCTTTTGGTTCAACACTCACCAAGAGGCAAACTCAGTTTTTGGGTAATAAGCTGAGCACAGGGGCTGGAAATAGAGGAGGGCCCTGGCCACAGCCAGGGGCTCAAGGGGAGGGCTCCTAAGACATGAGCAGGAGTTTTCCAGAATAAAGGATTTGGAGGTGGTTTCCTTATGACAGGGCCTGAAGGGGAGAGAGACTCTGGCCCATGAATTCATTCAGCTTCGTTCCCTGCTCTCTGACACTCCCTCACCAGACCCGTTTTTATTGTTGGTGATTTCTTGGACTTCCTACTGATGCCAGAAACTCAGCCTCTGTGCACCAGTGCCAAATCAAATCTCAGAGTTCTGGGTGAAGTAGAAAACAATAGCTTTATTGCTTAGCCAGGCAAAGGGGAACACAGCCAGCTCGTGCCCTCTAAACTGTGTGTCCCCATGGTGTGGGAGGGATTTGGTGAGGACTTTATAGCAAAGGTTCAAGTGTGGGGTTGCTGATAAGGTCCAGGGTATGTGAAGGGCCTACATTCCTTTAATCTGGCCTTTGGTGGTCTCCTGATAAACTTCTCTGATTCTCGAGGTTATCAGACTGTGACCTCTGGAATGAAGAATGCTTCATCAAGTGAAAAGTGAAAGTATTAGTTGCTCAGTTGTGTCCGACTCTTTGTGACTCCATAGACTGGAGCCTGCCAGGCTCCTCTGTCCATGGAGTTCTTCAGGCAAAAATACTGGAGTGGGTAGCCATTGCCTTCTCCAGGGAATATTCCCAATCCAGGGATAGAACTGTGAGGCTGCCAGGGCTAACACTATGACAGGCGGCCGGACCTAAGTTTCGGTTTCCCCTGAAATGGTAAGATTCCCTACCCCCATCAGGCTGCCTGGAGCCATCCAATCAACAGGCGCCCAAAAGGGAACAAAGGGAACATATCGAGGGAAAGCTGAAAAGCCCGCGAACACCTAAGTTTGAACAAAAGCCTGCGAAAGTTTGGACCAATAAAATTGCTTTGCAAACATGTAAGCAATCCGCTTAAGCCAGCTACCAACTGCTTATGTTCACCCTATAAATTGGTGTAACAGGTGGGGCTCGGGGCTCTCTGACCCTGCACCACTGCGTTGGATGCGGCAGGAGCCCTGGCTCGAGTCAGTAATAAACTTTCCTTTTTGCGAGTTGCATTGTCTTGGAAGCCTTCTCTCTTCCCGCTCAGGGATTCGGACATCGGGCACAACAAGAACCTGACTCTCTGGCACTAAAGGCAGATTCTTTATCATTTGAGCCACCAGGGAAGCCCTCATCAAGTAGTTAACATCTTCCATTTTGGGGAGCTTTAGTTCTGTACAAGGGTTCAAAATATTGTTATGTGTGTCCCTTGAGGTGGAATCAGGACTCTGCTCCAAGGCTGCACTAGTGTTTCTTGACTACTCCTCCCTTGTCCCTGCATCATCTCCCTTCCTTGATCAAAAACTGAACCTGCCCTTTGGAACTGAGGGAAGGTCATGGAGGCTGAAGCATGTTCCCTATAAATAAGAAATAGGGGACATAGAAAGGTTTCTGTACCCAGGAGCTGCACAGGTTTCTGCTCTGTTGGGATCTGTGGCCAGGTCCCACACTGTCTCAGAAACTCATACGCCAGAACAGGGTTAGGCAAACTTTTCTTATAAAGCACCACATGATAAATATTTTAGGCTTGGGGAGGGGGTGGGCTTATGGTTTCTATCACAAAACTGCTCAGTTCTGCTGTTAAAGCATGGAAACAGTCACAGATGTTACATCAAAGAATGGGTGTGTGGAGTGTTTTCTGTTACTGAGTCCAAGCTCACTCTACTCACTGCATATGTGCATGCTCAGTTGCTCAGTTGTGTCTGACTCTTTGCAACCCCATGGACTATAGCCCGCCAGGCTCCTGTCCATGGGATTCTCCAGACAAAAATACTGGAGTGGGTTGCCATGCCCTCCTCCAAGGGATCTTCCTGATCCAGGGATCGAACCCGTGTCTCTCGTGTCTCCTCCATTGGCAGGCGGGTTCTTTACCACCAGTGCCACCTGGAAAGCTCCTGTTAACCAGGCAAAGATCAGTTAACTGAGAAGAGAGATGATGAGGCAAGGAGTAAGACTCCATTTGGAAAGCTTGCTGATTAAGATGGCAGACTATTGTCTCAAAATAACCATCTTCTCAGGGTCTGGATGCCAGATTCTTTTATAGAATAGAGATGGGGGTGGGGAGGTGAGGAAATAAAGTAAAAAGGCCATTAATCTTGCAATCTTGCATATATCTCCTGGAATGGCCAGCCCTAGGGAAAGAATATGTTAATCTCTTCCTTCCTGTAGCCATCAACAGGTGGACAGGGCCCTGAACAAAGGTGGTTATTTTCATATATAGGCAGAGGGTCAGGTTTCCCTGAAGTAGGCCATTATGTATAAATATTATCCTTAGAGTGAACAAAAGCAATCAGAACAAAGGTTAAAGTGAAAGAAACAGATCCAACACGGAATCAGTTCTTCCCTATAACATTTCCACACCACCAAGCAGCTCCCCAGTTCTTAGTGGATCAATGAGGGATTCTACAAACTGAGCTCAACTCTGACACTGTCTGCCTGGAGGTAGTTCAGACCCCACAAGGTTAAGGGCTCAGTCCCCTTAGATGCCCCTACTTCAAATGCCAATCTCAAGTCCAGATAGTCACCTGTGCTTCTGTCTATTGGCTCTAAGTCAGAGGTTTCCTCAGCTTCCTCTTTGGGTTAAATCATTTGTTAGCATAGCTCACAAAGCTCGGGGATCACTTTTCTTATGTTTCCCAGCTTATTATTGTGGGGCTGCCAGGGCTGGCAGGTGGCCCGGACCTGGGTTTCAGTTTCCCCTGAAATGGTGGGATTCCCTCCCCCAATTGGGCCGCCTGGAGTCAGCCAATCAACAGACACCCAAAAGGGAACAGAGGGAACATGAGGGAAAGCGGAAAAGCCTGCGAATGCCTACGTTTGAACAAAAGCCCGCGAAAGTTTGTACCAATAGAATTGCTTTGCAAACATGTAACCAATCCGCTTAAGCCAGCTATCAACTGCTTATGTTCACCCTATAAATTTATGTAACAGCTGGGGCTCGGGGCTTTCTGACCCTGCACCACTGCGTTGGATGCGGCAGGAGCCCTGGCTCGAGTCAGTAATAAACTTCCCTTTCTTTGCGAGTTGCATTGTCTTGGAAGCCTTCTCTCTTTCCGCTCGGGGATTCGGACATCGGGCAAAACATTTGGGGGCTGGTCCGGGATCCCTTGACCGGGAGAAGAGAACACTTACAGGACAGAGGGGAAGGATAAATAATAACACCGGTGCTCAGGCAGGAAAGTCCAGTGTAAATCTGAGGCCCTGCTGGGAAGCAGGAAGTTATCTGGCGCAGAAGAAAGCTTTCTATAAAGTGGGGAACGGATTAAACGTTCCAGCTGGCATAAGGCCGAGGCCAGCGACACGCTGGAAGTCAGCCGATTCTGCGGGAAGGAAAGTTCCTCTCCCCACCCCAAGTCTGGTGAACAATGGACGCCATTTGGTAAGGTGAACCTGCTACCGGGAGGCAAGAGAATTCAGGGGGCCCGAAAACCCAGCGCTATGTCATCGGCTGAAGTTTGTCTGTCCGTGTGTTTGTCTTCGGCTCTCCGTGTTTGTGTGTGTGCCAGCATTGTCTCTGGTCCTCCTCCTCCTTCTTCTTTCAACCTGGCTTCCTTTCCTCCTTTTGAAATCTTTGAAGACATCTGAAGTTTTGTGTCTCTATAGAAGGTTTTCTGAGAGACTGTATTCTTGTATTTAAGGGAGTGTCTGATGAAGACTGCCAGGTTTATATGTGTTTTAACTCTGTTCTGTGTTGTGATTTGTGACGGCTATTTTGCTTTGTCTGGCCACCATTTAGACCTGCCGCCGTTTTGTTAAAACTTGATTGTCTTTCCCTGTGCCTTGAGACCAGGGCTCTCAAGAACACTCATCTAGACCATCTTTAACTCCTGAGACTGAGAAGAAAAGGAAAAAAAAGAAGCCTTTAAAAATGTTATTTATTTAAATTTTATATTGTAATATCTAATTCATGACCAAATTTAGAAAATGAAGATAAATCTTGCACTGTGTCTGTCTAAATATGTTTTGGTATGTCTTTATCTCTAGAAAATATTTTTAGGTTAATTTGTAAATGAGCTCTATTTAATTGGCTTAAGAAAGGGTAAGCGCTTACAAATCAAATAATTCTAAATTAAACAATAAATTCCAGGTTTAGGTGAACTGGGAAATATTCAGTATTAAATACCTGATATTAATGTTTGTTTGTTGACCTATCTAATATAGACATGTCTTAGAGTAATTAACATCAAGTGAAATGTTTTCATTGTGCCTAGGTTTAATATAAGTTAAATATTATGCCTGTTACAGGTTTGTCAACAAGGAAATTACCTCGAGTAAAAAAAAAACTTCTAAAAAATGTAAATGAGGTATGAGTTTGTATATAAACTCTATTAAGAATAATTATTCTTTAAGAATATCTGTTTAAAATAGTCTCTCCAGATTGGTGTAACTTGAATTTCTAAGGGTTGTGCTAAACTAAGTATTGGAAGTCTATTAAATAATTAGGTCATTTCCAAATGAAATAAGATTTTGAAACATTTACTACTAAACACTGATTTCCTTTTACAGAAAAACTAAAGAGATTTGGGACTATAAATGAATAATGTTTGATGCCATACTAAAATGTTTTAAGAAAACAAAAGTATGAAAAAATACTAAAAAGAGTTATGCATGATCAAGATTTTCTAAAATTGGATTACAATTAGTTAGATAAATGGATTTTGTTAGGAATGACACATTGTAAGAAAACTGGTTAGAGCCAATTAGGTCCAAGATGGCGGAGCTGACTTTCACTCGACCTTGAGCCTTGGTATTTGCGCCCTTTGTGACATACCTACAAGCTAAATGATACACCCATCAACATTGACTGAATCTGACCAAATGTTCTAAAGCTTTTAATTGATCTTTTCGAATCGAATTCTTTTAAAGTTCCTTTGACATCTAGCTAACTTTGGGGTGTTTCAGAGGGCCCCTGAAACATCCCAAAGAGAAATATTAAACTGTTTATTTGGTTGGTTAAATTACATGAAAAAGATTATCAAATGAGTAATACATCTGCTCATGTTATAATGTATGAAAAATTACTAATACAGATATCCTAGAAATTATATGGAGTTCTTAACATTTTGATATGTCTTGGTATTCTAATGAAAAACCTGATGACGTCACATAAGTTAACAAAGGACTGAATGAACCAGCGAATATGCTTATAACTTTTATGGTTTCTATCTGAGAAATTACAGGTTTAAATCGTGTGTTTTCCAGGAGTAGAGAAAACCTTCCTCTTAAACTAATTATAAAAATAATTTGGTGAAATTACATGTTATAAACAAAACAATTATATTTTCTCTCTATCTGACTCCTCCAGAAATTTAAAACTCTTAAGTTTCCAGTAAGTTTATCAAATGAGCTAAAAAGGTTATCTCACTAACAGGTACAAAAATCTCAAGGAATTTTTGAGACCTTAAAAGAAAAGAGTTCACCTAGATTTGTTAGGCAAAATCTGTGATAAGCCTTTGGTGTCAGTTTCCCAGCCCTGTTTTATATTAAAAGTTCAGTTGGAGATCCTATAAGTGTTTCAGCAAAATAAAAAGTCTATGATCAATTCTGTTATGTGATATTAATGTAGAAGTTTGTTTCTGAAGCTTATCTCAGTAATCTATCTTTGGATGATGATCAGAAGCCTCATGACCTGCAACCAGGACTGGAAAAAGACATAATTTAAGGGACTGTCTCCAACCTGGATGGAAGGACTTTTTATCAGGTACTCTTAACTAGCTCATGCACAATAAAACTGAACGGAAATTAACTTTTAGATTAATTCCCACTTCCAAAGGCCCCTACACTGGATTGGTCTATAGAGAAGACAGCTGACCTGATCTCACCTTAAAATGATGCTCAAACAAGAAAAACTACAGTACACCAGGATGAAAAGACAATGACATCAGAGGTAGACAGCTTGTCCAAGATGCTGGACCTGATTCGTATGATCGTTTATAGTGTTCTCTTGACTTCTTAGACCTTTGTATATAAATCAAATGCTTTTCTATCATAGGCCTGATTCTATGCCAGTTTTAGAAATCAATCCAATTGTTGGGTTTGTGGCTAATTACCTGCATCTAGTTCTGGGTTACCTTGGTAAATTTCTCTACTACAAGACTCTAACTGGTTGGCCCTGAGGAAATTTACTTTAAAAAAAATTATAGTCATATTCAGGTCACTATGATACTACCAGATGGGATCCCCTCACTGGGCCAATTAATAATGCCTACTCTGACTCTGGCTATAAATTTGAGCCTTTTTCTATTCCTCAAGCTCAATCAGAGCAACAAGAAAAGTTTTAGCAAAAGAAAAAGAAATCTCCCACAATTATGAGTTACATTTATATAGATAACACCAGGCTATGGTAATTTAGGTTTAAAGTCTTCTCTGTGTTAAAAACAATTAAATCATACTAAAGATAATCAGTCTAGTAACACTAGAAAACTGGGCTGTGTGCCTTATAGATGGTGGTGCCAATGTATAATTTCCCTGAAAGATAAAGATTCGTACAGAGTAGACTAAGTCAGACAACCTGGGATATACTGGGCTACATCTAATGGGAGCTCTTAGGTCTTACTTGTGACTTTACTAATACTGCTGGCTATGTTCTTTGTATTTCACCTGTTTTACAAAATTGCTATTTCTTACAGTGCCAAATGTGTGACTGAGGCCTCTGATAAAATAATATATAATTCCCTATGAGATCGATCATGATGACAGTGTAACTCTAGATATGAGAAAAAGCAACAAGAGGGAATGTTTTCCTGGACCAAGAGGCTAGTAAGACAGGTGGTCCAGAGAATTTTAGATACTGTTTTATGGCCTAGTCCAGTAACAGCACATTGAGAGGCCGGCCGACAAAATCTTTGCCAAATCTGAGAATGGACATTCTCAGCACCATGAGATAAAATGGTCATGAAATGCCCCCCTCAAAGTCGTGGTCAAGTTTGTGAGCAAAAAGGGGCTCTGCCAACTGAAGGTTAACACTTGCCATCTACATCTACAGCGATTATATCATGGCCACTGAACTGCTGACTTTCAACGGCCCTGAAAGGAGCTCAGGGTGAAGATCAAGAATGAGGTGTTCCGTGCTCTGGGAAAAACTGGCAGAACAGACCTTCAGATAGTTAGATCTTTTCAGGAGATTTTATGAGTCCCAATTCTTGCATCTTCTCATACCTAGAGAAACACTGACATCATTAATGGTGCCATCTGCTTTGGCTATTAAAGGAAAATTTTACAATTAAAAGTCAAAATAGAGTACTCAGCTATGGTTCAGACATCCTGGGAAATAACCAGGTGTTACTATGGGTGTAATTTCAGATTAGACATTATATTGCTAAACACTTGAGTTTTCTGAGTCGTGTTAGACTTAGATGCCACCATTCTCAAAACAATGTCTGCTGGAAGCTAGTAACTTCTACCTTACTTTTTATAAAACTAGGCAACTGGCCACCTGGCTACAAGTCTCCCTGAAGTGCCAAGTCCAGACTGGGTTTCAGGCCTATTCTTCTAAAAGAAAGAGAGTTACTTTGTCTATTAAAACTCCAGTTATCCCTTCTCCAGCTACTACTAACTGGGTATGTTACAACAAAATGGCAGACCAAGAGATTGAGATTTTAATCATACAAGGCTCAGATCTAAGACTTGGAACTCAGGAATACTTCCAATTCAGTGTCTCTTCCCCAAGCTGAGGCGGTCCTATGCCCCATTTTGACAAAAATTTATCACAGTCATAGTTGCCCTCTTCCCTAAATTAAAACTGAACAGGACTCTGCGGGGTGGCGACTCTGGAGTATAGATCTGCTGTACTGTAAAATATAGGCTTTATTCAGCCTCCTTGACCTTCCCTGAGTTCCAAAGTGTAGATTCAAACAATTGCCAATCAGAGAAGGAATAAAATACAGAAACAGAGGAGAAACAATCAAATGGTGGTACAGCCTTGAGATGGGTCCTGGATCCTACTCAAAGAAATATGCATAACAATGTCTTTTGAGTTCTTCTACAGAACTGGAGACCCCACCCAGGTGGAAGATGGTAACTTCAGACTAAACATAAGATTCCTAGAACACAGCTCTGTAGCTTGACCACCAGCCAATCATCCCAGTGGTGCCTCCTGTTTCTGGGGACCAGTGATGACCATCCTGTTAGGTCTCCTGTTTGGCCCCTGTCTATTTTACCTCTGAAAGGTGCCGATAGTTTCAAACTAAGTTGCTGTTATTACAAAGCTGGTTTCAGATATAAAACACCCCAACTTAGGTCAGGTATAGAGAGACTTCTGCTCTGCTAGGCAGGCCTACGCCCAGGCACAGCAAGAAGAAGTTACAGAAGAAAGAGACCTCCGCCCCAATTCCCAAAAAGCATCTTGAGTATGAAGGCTCTCAAGGGGGAGTTGTTAGGGAAAACACACTCCCTGTCCGTCCACCTAATGTTACTCAGATCTCAATATTCGACTGTCCCCCCAGATGATATAGAAGAGCCATGATTGGGCCTTCCATAGAAACAAAGACAGGGGGGAATGTGGGGCTGCCGGGGCTGGCAGGCGGCCCGGACCTGGGTTTCAGTTTCCCCTGAAATGGTGGGATTCCCCGCCCCCACGGGCCGCCTGGAGCCAGCCAATCAACAGGCGCCCAAAAGGGAACAAAGGGAACATGAGGGAAAGGGGAAAAGCCCGCGAACGCCTAAGTTTGAACAAAAGCCTGCGAAAGTTTGTACCAATAGAATTGCTTTGCAAACATGTAACCAATCCACTTAAGCCAGCTACCAACTGCTTATGTTCACCCTATAAATTTATGTAACAGCTGGGGCTCGGGGCTCTCTGATCCTGCACCACTGCGTTGGATGCGGCAGGAGCCCTGGCTCGAGTCAATAATAAACTTCCCTTTCTTTGCGAGTTGCATTGTCTTGGAAGCCTTCTCTCTTTCCGCTCGGTGATTCGGACATTGGGCAAAACAATTATAAAGGATACAGATGCACAACCAGATGAAGAGGTACACTGGGTAAGGTCCAAAGGGTCCCGACCCAGGAGATTTTGTCACTTTGGAACTGGGGATCCATCGCCCTCCTGCCTGGGTACCAAAATTGGAAGCTTATCAAGTCTCATTTTTCAAGAGGTTTTATGGAGCTTAATCTACAGACCTCTCTTCATTTCCAGAGGTCAGTGGGCGGGGCTGAAAATTCCTCTGGTCACTTGGTCTTTCTGGTGAAAGCCCCAACCTGAGGCTGTCTAGGGACCCCACTGTGAGTCACCTCATTAGCATAAACTCAGGTGTGCTCCAAAGGAGATCCTTGGGACTGTTGGCTTAAAAAATAGTCACAACCTAGAAGTTGAGTTATGTTTTATTTGGCAGAAATTTTTAGGACTTAAACCCTAGAGGCAGCATCTCAAGTAACACTGAACAAATTTCTCTGAGGAAATGAGGCTTGGAGCCAGGTTATACAGAAGTTTTGCAATAAGGAGCAGGTAGTCTGAACATCAAACAATTAATGTTAATTAAAGAAAACCAGATATCCCAAGTTAAGGAATTTAGTGATTTTCTAGGTAAGGAAAGATAAGAGTCTGGGCTAGCAGAAATCATTCCTTTCATATGCATCTCAGCTATCTGGGGTCAGTATTCTGCATTTTTCACATACTGAGTTCCTCAGGGCTCACCAAAGGGAGTGGCTGCAGCCTAGTGGCTGCCAGATCCCGGAGGTATTCTCCTCCTTCCTGGGGGCCCTTAGTGCTCAGGAATTCACACCTGGAGGGCTGGAATTGCTGATGATTGTGACATCCTTGTTTACTGATATGGCAGGAAGTATTCCATGTCTCAGGACTTCCCTGGGGATTCAGTGGTTAAGATTCCCTGCTTCCAAAGCAGAAGGCACAGATTCAACACCTGATAAGATAATAGAGATCCCACAAGCTGTGAAGCCAAAAAATAAAAATAAATGAATAAATACTCTTTTAAAAGGTGAGGGGAGGCTCCTTATGAGTAAATAAAGATCCTTCTACCATTCAAGAAATTCCAAGGGTTTTAGGAGCTCTGTGCCAGGAATCAGACAAAGACCAAATATATTTCTTATTATATCACAAGCATGACTATATTCCAATAAAACCTTATACTATTTGGCCTGTGGTTTGTGGTTTGCTAACCCTGCCCCAGACCTTGTCATTATGGATAGCCACAGCCACAATCCCAATTTCAAGCATCCCACTCTCCCTTGCCTTCACCCCCACCCCCACCACTGTTCTCTGTCTTTTTCCCTCACTGGAACCTGCCCTCCGTTAATCCCACCACCCCTCATCCCCTCCTGTCTTATTCGGCAAAAGCACTGTGGTCAATCATTTAGTCCTTTGTATGCAACCTTGTTACCCAAAAACTGGGTTTGCCTCTTAGCTCTTGACACCCATCCAGCCAAAAGACACAACCAAGCCAAAGATCAGGTGAAGGAAGGATTTATGACAGCTTGCAGTAAGTAAGGAGAGCAACAAGGATCTGTCCCAGAGCAATGTCTCCCTGTACAGCAAAACTGGGGAAGTTTTAAGGTAAAGGTACATGCATATTGGGCAGTAGGCAGAGTCCAAGCTTTAGCTGACTGAAGTCACAAGTGTCAGAAAAAGGTCAACATCATCATCACTCAGGTCCCTGTTGATCTGGTGGTTGAGCGCTTCTGGCTAATCTTTGCCACTGAAACAGAACTGGGGGTCTTTAAAACTGATGCAGTATCTTTGCCATTGCCATTTCTCCTGCTGACTGTTTGTTTCTGCATTCCTTCGTTCTTTTAGGAGCATTAATTACTGAGACCAGGCAAGAAATACTGGAGTAGGGTGGCATTTTCTACCCCAGGGAATCTTCCTTCCTGGGTACAGAATTCTCAGTTTTGTAAGATGAAAAGAGTTAGGGAGATGGATGGTGGTGGTAGTTCCCCAACCAGGTGATGCTTTTGAACTGTGGTGCTGGAGAAGACTCAAGAGTCCCTTGGACTTTGAGGAGATCAAACCAGTCAGTCCTAAAGGAAATTAACCCTGAACATTCAATGGAAGGACTGATAATGAAGCTGAAACTCCAATACTTTGGCCTCCTAATGCAAAGAGCCAACTCATTTGTAAAGACCCTGATGCTAGTAAAGATTGAGGGAAGGAGAAGGGGATGACAGAGGATGAGATAGTTGGATGGCATTACTGACTCATTGGACACAAGTTTGGGTAGACTCTGGGACATAGTGAAGAACAGGAAAGCCTGGCATGTTGCAGTCCATGGGGTCTCAAAGAGTTGGACACGACTGAGCAACTGAACAATGGAATTAGTGGCTTTAAACAACATAAATTCATTCTCATAAAGTCTAAAATCAAGGGGTTGCTCGGAAGGCTAGGCTGTAAGGCAGAATCTGTTTCTGGAGGCATGAGGGGAGAATTCATTTCTTTGCCTTCACCTTCTAGAGGCACCTTCATTACTTGGGTTGTGGTTCCTTCCTCCATTTTCAAAGCCAGTAGTGTAATACCTTCTGTAGTCATATCTCCTTCTGCCTCCCACAGGTGATTACATTGGGCCCATAGGGATAATTCAGCATAATCTCCCCATCTCAAGATCCTGCCAGGTAATTCACAGATTTCAGGGATTCAGATGTCGACGACTTTGTGGGAGTCATTATGCAGTCTCCCAACCACCATTCACACACTTTTATTAGATAGACTATTTCACACCCTGTCTTCTCTTCTCAAACCTGTGACCTCACCCAGTTATTACCATCAGTTGGTTACCTGGCTGCCCATTTCAGTAAGGGGATAAAATAAACACAAGAGAGCATCCTCAGGCTCTCCCACCACATTGAGCCTCCTACCTGCCCAAAGTCTCAGCCTTCTCCCCTGTGACTGTATAAACTCCCAGGCTGCTGGTTAATGGCATCCTCCTCTCTGCTCTGGATCTCAGCATCTCTCCCAACTCAGAGACATTGCTCCAGCATCTCTCCCCTCTCCCTCCTTTAGCATTAGCTTCCTGGTCTCCTGAATCTTTCTTGACTACATACAAACATACCAGTGATCCTCCTACTTAAAAAACAACTTACTCCCCCATACCCAATAGAAGGGAAAATTTAAAAAGAAGGAAAGAAAGGAAGGAAAGAATGAAGAAAGAAAAAAGAAATGTAGGAAAGAAGGGAAGAAGAAAGAAAGAAGGGAAGGAGAAAGAAAGAAGAAAGGAAGGAAGAGAGCCAGTATAGGGGAGGATGTGGAGAAATTGGAACCCTTTTGCATTGCTAGTGGGAACTTAAAATAGTACGGTGCTAGGAAATACAGTATGGCAGTTTCTAAAAAAAAAAAAAAATCCAACAACATGGAATTGCCATGTGATCCAGTAATTCCAATTCTGGTTATATATCCGAAAGAATTGAAAACAGAGACACACATACTCATATGCCAGTGTTCATTGCAGCATTATTCATAATAGCCAAAAGGTGGCAGCAGACCAAGTGTCCACAGGTGGATGAGATATGATGGAGTATTATTTAGCATTAAAAAGGAAAGAAATTCTGACACATGCTACAACATGGATGGACCTTGCAGAAAGTGAAAGAAGTCTGTCACAAAAAGACAAATACCATACGTAGGATTCCACTTATATGAGATACCTCTGTGTGTGTGTTTAAGTCACTTCAGTCATGTCAGACTCTTTGTGACCCTATGGACTGTAGCCTGCCAGGCTCTTCTGTCTAT